CTACGACTACGACTACAACAACCACACCTTTGATTACTCCAGCTTCCCCGGTAACAGCAGAGACCCACACAAACACACAAACTCTGTTTAGTAACTGAGACTTGATGGCACTACCATCAGCATCTGTGCTTTTCTGTGTCTTTGTGTTTTCAGAGGTACATCTTATGATCCCAAACAAGGTGAGCGCTTTAAAAAAAAAGGTTTTATGTCCATGTATGTTCAGACGCATTATTAAAGGACAAATTCACAATATTTAACTCACATTTATATATATGCTGTATTCTGTTTATTAGTGTTTTCTGCTGTTTTGTGTTTATCCTGGTCGAGGGTTCAAATAATAAATTCTAGTGAGCCAAAAATTTGGGCTTCAGATATTTTTTTCTACTCTTTTCTCGATGACATCATAGAATAAGTCTAATGTGGCTGTGTTCTGTTTTCAGTGAGACACAAAAAGCAATAAAACCTTTATTATCCATAAATCATCCTTAAAGTTAATGTTAGTCAACATTATTAAAATTTAAGAGAAGTTGCTCCTTTTAACATTTTAAATATTAATTAAAATACATGTTGGTAGTGAGTACTGATTACTTAATGTTGATTATGTTAATTCCACAGCTTTAAAGGTTCTGAGCTGATACGTTTAAATTTTAGTCTGGATAAAAATAATAAAGTTCATAAATGTGGATCCGTGTCAAACGTCACATATCAAAGTAGCTGTTTTTGCTTCTGTGAACCACGTGACTTCTCTCAGGGCTCAGGGATTGGCCAGCTGAACCTGGTACTCCTGCTGGGATTGGTGATTCTTCACGCCTGGAATTGATTGGTGGGCGGAGCCAAGGTCGAGCTATCATTTGATGATTTCTGAACTCACTTCCTGTTATGCATCTGCAACTTTCAGCTTCTTCTTTCACATCTCTGCACCTCGATTAACCGCAGCGGGGTTTCCTCCCGGAGGCCAGAGCGAGTCAAGCTTCCCCATTTTTTTAAAATTTAAGTTTCATTTTAATAAAAGCAGTTTTTTTTAAAGCAATAGATCCTGTATCACTCTCAACACTGGCATCGTTAGTGTAGTCCAATCATCTTTATGCTCGCCTCCTTTGAGCCAATCAGCCTCCGCTCTGCTCGGTTTAAATTTCAGTGCTCTTCCTTCATTCTCCCTCTCCGACTCTCCTTTCTAAAAACCCGCCTCCCTCCTCCCCACCCCGCTGAGTCACTCAGAGCTCCGTCCAAGCCTCAGGGTTCACCTTCACCACCAGCGTCTGACTCTGATGGGCCACCAGCAGTCATCGGAGTCTAGTCACCAAATAGTTTCATTAAAATAAATTTCTCTTTTTCAATAAATGATGTTCAATTCTTCTGAAATGTTCTCTCTTTATTGAAATAAAATACAAAACACGAGGTTGGTGTCACACGTTTGTGATGGCGTAAATAAATGTTTTAAGTCTGAAAGGGAGCAGGTGGAATTTATCACTTATTAAAGTTTATTAAGACGCACATGAAGAAGTCTACAGCCTCATTAGCTGTAAGTATGTGCACATAATATAATAATAATAATAATAATAGTCATATCCAGATGAGCAGAGTGGGAATCCTCTCTGTACATAATGTTTTTCCCCTCTGCTCATCCTGTGTTTTCTTCAAACAGTAGCAGCGTTTCCACTTATATCCTGTTGGCCAACAACGCCGGACGCCGTCATCGGCACCGTGGGCCTGATCAACCTGGTCCTTGATTATCTGCATCCTTGATTTCATGCACTTCCTGACTCAGCCCTCCACATTTATCCAGGTTTGCTGGCTCTAAGTGAACTCCGGCTTGTGCCCATAAAAGATTAATATTACATTATATTATTTATAAGCTCAAATTTCAACAGCACAAAATGCAGTGAGTAGTTGATCCTTACACATCAAACTAAGACAACAGTCTGCTTTGGTGATGGGAGGGTCATCGGCCGTCTTTTGCTCTAATCTGAAACTCTTTGAATCTGCAAAAAGAAAACTTCTTTTTACAGCAGAAAAAACCCTAAACTTCCAACAAGCACCGAGTAGCTACGACGTAATGGGAAACTCACAGAGAAACTCGCGGATTCTTCAACTGACCGCGGCACACCTGCACCAGGGTAAACCTCCGCCTACCTCACTCCTGCTTTACAGGTGAAAATAGAGCAACAGGACCGCTGAGTCTTTGACTTTATTTATTTTCTGCTGTGTTTTACTTGCATCTATTTGAAAGACTGAGTGTAAACACACAAAATATTTTATTTTATGTGCTGGAATGTGCAGAAAATAGGTTTAAATGTTAAACTAATTTCTTCCAGTCAGAGAATGTTGCAGATAATTAAATCTTTGCTTGATGCATAAAGTTAAAAGATTAAAACTAATAAAACAAGTTAAAAAAGAGACTTTTCCATTTGATTACATTTTGTATGATGGATTATGCAGAAAAAGTAGAATTGGGCTGAAAGATCTATCACTTTATCACCTCTTCAGGGTGTAAATCGTGTTTTTAAAAAGTAACTAAGTAACTAAGTAATTAATTACTTTTGAAAATAAGTAATCAGTAAAGTAACGGGATTACTTTTTGGGGAAGTAATCAGTAATTAGTTACTGATTACTTTTTCAAGTAACTTGACCAACACTGCTCACGAGCAGGTAAACCAACACAGAAAGTCAGACAACGTTTAGTTTTGACAGTAACATCAGAAACAGAAAGCCCCGAGCTTTAAATTGAAAAAAAAATTATAACACTAATAATAAAATGAATCTTTCTTTGCCCATGTGACAGATCTCCACTACACTTCATTAAATGTTGCAGTTTTTTAGTTTTGCTATCAGACAAATACATTCAAATCTAGTCGGCTCAGCCCTCACAGACGAGTTCACGGTGAGTAACAGCAGCTTAATTCCAGTGAGCACAAGAACCGAGTGAAGCTTTACTAAGTTAAATGGAAAATTAAAAATCTGAAGGAGAAATAAATCTGTGCATTCACAGAAATACGAGCTGTTAACTGCTTATGGTAACAAACATGCAGACTTCTGTGTTTCTTGTACACAGGTCGTGCTGGTCTTGCACATAGCAACACTTTAGCAACCACATCTCCTCTCTCCACTTAAAGTCAAGATACGTGTGAAAACCACCAAACCCTCTATGCACAGTGACAGTGCATCTACTTACGCTACTTTCTCTGGTAGTTAGCAAGCGTATATGCAGGTATGAACACTCTTTGGCTGAAAGAAAAACGAAAAGCAAAGAAAGAAAATGATTTTAAAGCAGAGTTTTTTCTAATTAATATTTAATTCATTGCTTATATTCCTTTCTTATACATTTTATCCTCATCTGCTGTTAGTTGCTGGTGTGGACTGCAGAAACACAGACGTTGGTGTGAGTTGAGTGACCATGAGGGAGATAGTCGGGACAACAAATGTGTGAAACAATATGACCTCCTCAGAGTATCAGTGAGCTTTCACTGGACAAACAACTGGAATCATGTCCTGCAGCTGCTGATGTTTTTGCTTCTGTCGTCTGCAGCTTTGTGCAACGCTGCTTCTGGGAGCATTTTTATTGGCTCTCTTCCACAGCATGTCTTGTCTGTTCACAATAGTCTAGTATGAATGCCTGTTGGGTAGATTTTCATCTTTAGTAAAAGCTGTACGACCCATGAAAACACACTTAAATTTATGCCTTTTTCACATAAGCAGCGGGGCAGATTGGGGTCCAATTCTGGCCCCCGAGCCTTATGTTTGATGTAACTGTCACATCTAGAAAGTGTTTTTAGGGCTCACCTAACGAGTCCGGGCTTGCTGATAACAGAAACTCGTTTCGTGGGAAAATAAAGTTTTTGTTTAAAGTGTCAGAGGACTCAGATCTCATTCCCACGCTCTCTCTCTGCCAGTTTGTGTCTCTCGTCCAGGATGAACCCGTTACTGTCCGCCTGTCTCTGGCTGACTCTGAGCGTGTTAGTCTGCTGTGGTGAGTGAACTGCAACCAGAAGCTTAGATGTTATAAATTAATGTTATAAATGTGTCTTTGTGAATAGGAGATTTTTTTTTAAGTGTTTGTTCTTTGTTTGCGCAGTCATCCGTCGCTGTAACGCGGTCTCGCGGATTTATTTTTTTTTGTGTGCGCGTGCAACTTTCCATGTTTAGGCTATTTTTTTGTTTTTTGTTCTTTTTTTTAAACCCCGCATTGTGTTCTGCGTCCTGATTGGCTGCGGACCGTTATAAATAATCGTGCCGTGTCTCCTGTGCAGTACAGAATGCGTTCAGCTTGTCAAATGTACATAAATCTTCCCTCGCTGGCAGCGAGTGCTGCACTGCATGTTTGTAAGTTTTCTCCACCAAACAACAATGTCGATGAAACGTTTTGCAGCGTCAGAGGCTCCTGCGGGTGACTTTGATTCTATAACACTGGACTTATTTGTTTCTACGAAGGTTTGAACTTTGAGGGTTTAAACAAGACAGAAAAGTGTGTAAATGTTCATGCCTGTCTGAGAAAAGAGTATAAAGTGTGCAGTGACGGGTTTTACAGTCTTAAAACGTCTATAACAATTGGAAAAAAATAAAGTTGGCTGCTTCATGGATTTCGCTGGTTATTGATGGGATGTCCTGATGTGACGCACAGGTCACGGCCTCGCCTTCAAACCGAAAGCAAAACTGACAGCCTTTTTTTTTCTGACCAATTAGCTCCAAACATCCAAAGACTTCAGACTGTTCAGATGACCTTTATTTTCCAAAGCTGTTAAAAAGCTTCATACTAATTAAATAAAATATTAATCCAGAGTAATACTATATTTAATAATATTTATTACATATACAGAATGAATTATAATTGGGTTGTTTTATTAAGGGTGTGTATGTGTATGTCAGCCAACTTCTGTCAGCTTATGTGCTTTTTATTTTGTTTCTGCTGAACTTTCATCACAGAAAACAGTGAAAAGGAAGACTGGGACCATTATGACCTCACAGAGTTTAACTGGACCGACTATACTGACTTCAACTTGATGGATTACAATTACAATGACTTCAACTTGACCGACCCTGTCGACTTCAACTTGACGGATCTTGACTACAGCCATGACTATATCGAATTCAGCACTGACCTTGTCCACACTTCTTTTAAAGGTAACAGCAGCGCACCAACACAGCACAGACACTTTGTCTATTATTGGTACTTTGGTACTGATGCCAGTATCTGTGCTTTCTCCTGTCTTTTAGAGGATGAGTCCAATTTCAGGAACAAGGTGAGAAATCCTGTTTTTTTGGGTTGTTTTTTTTTAGACGTGTCAGTAAAGGACAGATTTATAGTTTTAACTTAAAACAAGAAAATATTTATTTATTGATTCTGCTTTTCTGTATTTTCCGTCACATACTGTCTGTCACTCTAACACAGCCACAGTTTCAAAGACAGTGTTTGCAAAACAAATCCAGATCTCACATGATGGCATCATGAGTCACAAAAGAAGCTGCTAACATACAACATTTCACCTTTTTTGTGCCAGATAAACATGCATGTATGTGTGTCTGTGTCGTTCACTCTCTCAGGCCTCACGGATTGGTCAGCTGAAGCTCGTGTTCCTGCTGGGATTGGCTGTCCTTCAGATGTGGAATTGACAAAGATCATGGTGACGATAACACGGTCATCAATGATTCGTTTTAGTTAAAATTACATTACAACATAATGTCACGTTATGCTGTAATGACACAGGACCGAAAATGGAACAAAAACCAACATCGTCCACTTATTGGCTAAAACTGTAATAAAATATCTGCAGACAAAAAAAACAAACCAACAAAACTTTTTTGACAACATTTGATTCATGGAGTCATTGTTTGCAGTTCCTCTATCCGGTCGTTAAGTCTGACGTCACTAGCCGTGTCTGGGCCTAAACTCCATATATCAAACGATCACTGTGGCATTACTGAGAGTTAAAAACTGTCTAAAGTCTTTCATCTTTAATAAAATGATCAGCGTTCTGCTCTACCAGGTGTAACAGTTGAGTTTAACATCCAGGCATCCATGAAAACGGAATTTATGACATTTAAC